TAAGGAAGAATCGAAAGAACTGATCTTTCGATTCTCTTATGTGGAAGTTTGAAAAGGGTTGAGAGGGACTGGCATACAGTCTATTCCTCGTCCTTTTCTGCGATAGATTCAGATTATGAATTCTTCCTTGATGAGTAGTGAGAGCAGTATCGAAATATTCCGATCTGTTCACTGTGACGGCTATGTGCTGACAGACCGCGGAGCTCCGCTTGTCCGTCGAGGAAAACTAATCCTCCGCTATGCGGCGTCCTTGACGAAGTAGTCTGTCCTTTTCTATTATATATTCTACTTAGAGCGAGAACACCTGTTCCGAGAATTCGAATGCGAATTCTCGTTACCGGTGATTCCGGCCAGCAGACGGTGTTATTACTTTTTCCTCGGTACGGCTCGCGTTGACTCATCGGTATAAGAAACGTAGCACCGTTTCTTATACTCGAGCAATTCGAACTCTAACGCTTTATTAAAATTTAATTCCATGAGGCCGAGAAAACTCCGTAAACCTTCCTTTTTAATTTTAAAACACCGTTCTTTAAACACACCGCCCCCCTTGCGCGAATCGCGCAACCGAAACTGACTCGATCTATACCGGAGATGCATAAATGCAGTTTTTCGACTCACCGCTTATTCCAGGCGTCGAGAGACTTCTGCAGGAATTCTGCGAGCCCCTGGTCCCAGTCGCGATCTCGGCGTGGCTGTTCCCATCGCTGCGGCGAGGGTGTTCTCATGCGAGTCCTCCGATGACTTTTCTTCTTTCTTGGTTGAGCCTTGGTGTTCGGTTCCCGTTTCTTCCGCTTGGAACTAGCGGCCTCGTTCTTTTTACTGTCCGTGTTCGAGGTTGACGGAGAATTGTCGTTGAACACTAACGACGTCAATCTACCCTCCTTATTCCAGCGGAACACATATTTTCCGGACCCAACATACCACCTTTATCTCATTGATGTGAACAGGATGTGTGCCGGCACCGATACTGCCCCATCGATGGCTACGGGAAATACTAGCGGAGGTTGTATCCGGGGCTCCGGTTTTTGTGGTAACTCTGGAGTAGTTTCCTGGTCCGGCTGTACCCGCTTCGGGATACGATAATTCCGCAGGCTATCTCCGGGTGCCTCCGATGTTTTAGTAGGAGTCGCCTGGGTGTCCATCTCTTTATTTCCTGAGCTGGGCGAAGCCAATTTCAGTACCTTTTCAAAGGTAGCGTTGAATTTTTGACCGTTCTGCTCTTGCGACATATCGACAAGTAATGAGCGCGACGCCCCTTGCGAGCTATTTACATGCGGCAGAAATCCGAAAATTCTCGAATCCCCCGTTTTGTCTTCGACACGAGAGAAGTGGTATCGGAGCACCGACACCCTTCCCCGGTGGTCTAATGATTGGGGGGGACAAGGGGACACAAATCGTTTCGAATTCGAAACTGTTATGTCCGCTGTCCTTCTATTGCCGTGCTATCGAATTCGTTAGCCGTCTGTTTCTTTGTTTGTCGGTGATGTTAGTGTTGACAAATCATCGTCGACAGGCAATTTACACAAGCGCGTAATCGCTCTTGT